AGGTGGACATGTGGATGATGTGGACGAGGTAGGCGAGGTGGACGAGGTGGACGAGTAGGCAAGGTGGACAAGATGGATTCAATCCGACGCCTCGGAATGATGGACCGAGGGGACAGGTGGACATGTGGACGAGGTAGGCGAGGTGGATGAGGTGGATAGGTGGATGGGTGGACATGTGGACGAGGTAGGCGAGGTGGACGAGGTAGGCGAGGTGGATGGGTGGACATGTGGATGAGGTAGGCGAGGTGGACGAGGTGGATTCAATCCTACCTCGGAATGATGGACTGAGGAACACGTGGACATGTGGACGAGGTAGGCGAAGTGGACGAGGTAGGCGAGGTGGATGGGTGGACATGTGGACGAGGTAGGCGAGGTGGACGAGGTAGGCGAGGTGGATGGGTGGACATGTGGATGAGGTAGGCGAGGTGGATGAGGTGGATTCAATCCTACCTCGGAATGGTGGATCCGGTAGGTTTGGTGGATCCGGTGGGTAGGTGGATCCCTGCTTGAAGTGGACGAGGTGGACGAGGTGGATGCTCATTCCGACGTTTCGAATAGGATGTGGATGGGGTGGACGTGCCATCCACAGCGATCCACCGGTCCCACGGCCGATGTGGGCGAGACAGGTGGATCCTATGGACGCCAACGGCCGTGAGAGGATAGGCCAGGTGGATTTGACGGCGATCCGGGGTCGTGAGAGGATAGGCCAAGTGGATTGAGGTGGATCCGAGGCCTCCCAGCCAATCCGAGGCCTGCATCCACATTTTAGGCCCGCCCACATGGACTAGGGAACAATAGTATTAGGCGGTCGCGGACGGCGGCGCGTGGGTGGGAAGCGTAGGCTGAATGACAAGAAACACAAGACAGAAACTGCATTTGGCAGTCGTGGACCGCGCGGCGCAGCGGGCAAGGGGTGAGTGATCTAGAGACAAAAATCCGTGAGATGAGCGGGGTAAGCGGTCGTGGACTGCGCGGCGCGGTGCACAAACGGAGGATCAGAGACTGAACAAAAGAATGAGAACAAAAAGCGGCGGTCACAGACCGCCCCGCGCGGCTTGCAACCGCACGAAGACTCCGAAGATCGAAAATGTCAAAAGCAGCGGTCGCAGACCGCCCCGCGCGGCTTGCAACCGCACGAAGACTCCGAAGATCGACAATGTCAAAAGCCGCGGTCACAGACCGCCCCGCGCGGCTTGCAACCGCATCAAAATACCGAAGTTCAAAAATGTCAAAAGCGGCGGTCACGGACCGCCCCGCGCGGCTTGCAACTGCATCAAGACTCCGAAGTTCAGAAATATTAAAATAAGCGGTCATCGACCGCCCCGCATGGCTTGCGGCGCGGTCAGCCTGACCTCCTAGCTGGGACGGGGCTAGGATGACTTACATATTGAGCGTGCCTTGTTCCGCCCGACAGCGCTCAGGTGACAGTTTAAACTGCCCACGCATGACGTCCATTTTCTCGACCATATCCATCGCTAACAAGTAATCTTCTCGAGGATTTCCCAGCTCGTTGTTATCTTTCTCTTCCCGGGCGTTGTGGTTCGGCGTGTCTTCGTCGCTGTCATCGATTATCTCGTCGATGTCCATGTCGTCATTATCCTTCTCTTTCCGGGCGTTGTGGTTCGGCGTGTCTTCGTCGCTGTCATCGATTATCTCGTCGATGTCCATGTCGTTGTTATCCTTCTCTTTGAGGGTGTCGTTGTTCGGCGTGTCTTTGTCAATGCAGCAATCCTGTATGTCGATCCCGTTTTGCACCCGGAGATTGTATTGATCGAAGAGCAAGTGTGTCAACAGGAGAACGTGAATTGGTGGTAAGATATCGTCAAACAGGTTCTGCTCGATGTCCCGAGCTTTGGGAGCCATGACGTCTACTGCCTCTGCATCCACGGCGTGCAATGCAGTGGGCCAAGTCTTTCCACGATGTTTGCAAGCGCCAATGTGCCCGATGGATGAATGGATCACCGGAAGATGCAGGATCTCGTCTTGTGTGGATAGTGGCAAGAGCCCAAGTCGTTGTTCGGCGTGTCTTTGTCGCTGTCATTGATCAGCTGGTCGATGGCTATGTCGTGATACAACTCAATAGGTCGTGTATGCGGTAAGAAGTAAGACCATGCAGGTGGATGAGATGCAACTGGCTAGTAAGCCTCCCTTCATCTTACTGATTAATATGTTGCCACCCCCGCCGCGCAGTCAACGACCGCGTTTTTTGCGTTTAGTGGGGTTGGCGGCAAAGTTAGATTGCGGCGCTGCACCAGCTGCTGCCCGGCGGTCAACGACCGCGCTCTCCGACGGTGGACCCGCTGCTCTTAAACTACGCAGGCTTGCGCCCGCGCGGGGCAGTCAGCGACCACCAACCGCAAGCAAGCGCTTGCGAGCCGCTGCACGCTGTCACCGAACACACGTGGGTACTCGCAAGCCGCCGCGCGCGGTCAGTGACCGCGCGGGCGCGCTAGCAAGCCGTGCGTGCGTGCTAGAAAGCCGCAGCGCGCCGTCACGGACCGCGCGTGCGTGCTAGCAAGCCGCAGCGCGCCGTCACTGACCGCGCGTGCGCGCTGGCAAGCTGCCGCGCGCCGTCACCGACCGCGCGCGCGTGCTAGCGGTGGGTGCTAGCAAGCCGCTGCACGCCGTCAGTGACCGCACGCGGGTGCCAGCAAGCCGCTGCACGCGGTCACCGACCGCCCCCCGGCGCATGGGCCCTGCTGCACCGCCACCCACGTCCGTTCCCAATCGGGAAGGTGGCTCCCGCCGCTGGCCAGCGCTACGCCCAATCCGGAAGGTGGTTCCCACCGCTGGCCAGCGCTACGCCCAATCGGGAAGGTGGTTCCCAGCGCTAGGCTAACGCTACCGTCGTATGCCCTCCCTCATAACCCTATATTTTGTTGTCGCCGCGTCGGCCTCTCGGCCGGCACGGTGTCGCTCGGTCATCTCGGGCAGAACCCTGATGAGCCTATAAAGGCGAAACAGGGCTGGCTGGGGATCCCCTCAGCCACTGTCGGTTCTGTCTTCGCCCCCGCTCCTCTCTCTGTTGCGACCATCCCTGCGCCAAAAAACGCTCGGTCGCTTCGCTCCCTCGCGTTTTTTGGGCGCCCTAACTAACCCTAACCCTAAGGGTGGACGAGGTGGATCCATCCACCGGGTGGACGAGGTGGATCCATCCACCGGGGTGGACGAGGTGGATCCATCCACCGGGTAGACGTGTGGACGTGGTGGACCGGCGGACTTGTGG